ACTCATTGTTTGTGCATTGCTACTATGTGTTGTACACGCATAGGACGGGTGAACATGTTGTGGAAGAATTTTTCCAAGTACTAATATAATAAATATTACATTCGCAAAGTTTATATTCGAAATCCGAATTAAATTTTTGAGTCTGTAATTTGCATTTAGGAAGAGTAGTATTACACTTTTCAAATAGTAAATGAAAGCTGTATATTACATGAAGTTGGTGTGTTATTGCCACGTCATTTTCGGTTCGCGGGAATTTTATTTTACGTTTTTCTCTTTCGTTTTGTGTTTTGGATGATGCTGTGTAAGTAATGATATAGTAGGAACTAAATAGACAGTCAGATGACAAATCACAGTCAGATGAACGCTTCTTGAGAAGAGTAGATATACTCCTTATGGTAATTGGAGTTTCTATAATTTAAGAGTAGGAATTTCTGATTTTGAATGAATTCTGGTTGAGTTGGGGTTGGGTTGAAGTTTTGTAACCTGAGCTGAACCTGGATCTATCCTTTGCACATATGAGGATCCGAGATTGAGACCCCTTTACCATATGAACTCTACCTTATTAGCTTAGGTGAAGAACCTCATTAAGAACTAATATATTTTTAAATTTCATTTCTTGTTGAATAATTTAACCTTGGGTGAACTAGTCAATTCAGCTCAAAAGGATAAGCATGGGTGAACCAGGGTGAGTGCCTAGGCCTAAGTCTAGTTCGGTCTTGAGTTGGAGTTGAGTGCTCAATGCCATACTTTGGGTTTGGGGTGACATTCAACTTGACTACTTCACGTAAGTTTAGCCTATAGTTACCTTCCAATCTAGTGGGTTTTTCATTCTAAATTATCTTGTAGTAATATTGAAAACCAATATATATGTTAAATAGGAAACCATAGTTTTAGATATTATTGTGGATGCATTCTTGTGTTAGGACAAGCGGCACTTAACCATAATGTTAGTATTCCATCATCTTTGTATTCTCTAGAGACGCTCAAAGTAAATCTTTGTATTGATCATCCTATGCATTCTCATAAGATAAATCTAAAGCCATATTATTTGAGACAACTTCTTTATGTCATATTGTTCGACTACCCTTCACAGTGTATAAAGTTCAAACTGGCATATAAAACTTGAGGGGATGCTAAAATTTGTTAGTTTTGTGTTGAAGGAACAAAATGGAAATATAGCTCGTGTATTGTAAAAAATCATTTCATTAAAAAGAACACCTTATTTATTTTAAAATGGATATTTTTTCATGAAGTAGTTTTTTGTTGTATGCTTAAACAGAAATTTTTGTTCTGTTCAGGTTGAGGGAAGGACTGTGAAAGCCCAGATATGGGACACAGCAGGTCAGGAGCGATACCGAGCAATAACCAGTGCCTACTACAGGGGTGCCCTTGGAGCTCTTCTAGTTTATGATGTGACAAAACCAACAACATTTGAAAATGTGAGCCGGTGGCTGAAGGAACTCAGGGACCATGCAGACGCCAACATTGTGATCATGATGATTGGCAACAAGACTGATCTGAAGCATCTTAGAGCTGTTGCCACAGAGGATGCCCAAGGCTATGCAGAGAAAGAAGGCCTATCGTTCATCGAAACTTCTGCCCTCGAAGCAATAAATGTTGAGAAGGCGTTCCAGACAATTCTCTCGGAGATATATCGAATAATTAGTAAGAAGTCACTCGCTTCAGGTGAGCCAGCACCCACCAGCATTAAAGAAGGTCAGACTATTGTAGTAGGAGGAGTATCCGAAGCTAACACAAAGAAACCTTGTTGCTTTTCATCCTGAACCTGAAGGTGGTTTCCGATTACCTCAATTTCCACTGGTTTTTGTTGTGTTTTCTCTTCATGTTCACTTTTCATCCTTGGCAGGGCTATTTTTCAACTTATAATATATTGAATGTTCGAACTTTCATGTCATTTGTTTGTTGTCCGGATATTTGATGATTTTGTTATGGCGGTTTGCATGAGGCATTTCATAGTTTTTTCTGTGGAATTTAGTGTATATTGTATTAATAGAATACAATTTGAAGAAAATTGTAGTTTGATTTGCATTTATTCTTGATTTTTTGACGAAATGGTAATGACCATTTGAGTTTGCGGAGGCCTCCAAAAAGAGTTTTTCAAGTGTGGGAAGAGATTTTATATTGTGGAAGTTAAAATGACTGTGTCTATGTCCATTTTATTCTGGAACAAAGTAGTTTATGAGCTAGAGGAATGAACTGAAAAATAGTGGGTTGAAGTTCCCAAATAACGCATTGTATTTTAAGATTTTAATCTAATGTTTCAATTCAATGATGATTACTAATAAGTGAAACCATTTATTATTTACCAAAACTCTCTTTATACATGTTTAATACTTAATGAAAACCCTGGTTTAGATAGGCTTCCTTTGCAATAAGTTCAGGGTAACTTTACCTCTCATAGGCAACTCTTAAAAAGACGTAACTTTATTCATTGATGTGAAAACTAGAATAGCCTTTGCTAGAGGCTATCCTTTAACATGAGTACTTTCATAAAGCTGAACACAAATTATTGGTTCATAAAATTATTTCCACATCGTAAAAATCAAGACTAATTGTGTAATTCATTTTTGCATTCAATTGTGCCCCCTCTTGTAAAGGAAAACACTTTGGTTGCATTTACAACGTATTAACAAAAAACAATATTTGCATTTACAACAAACAAATATTTGTAATTCAATTTTGCATTCAATTGTGCCCACTCTTGTAAAGGAAAATACTTTGGTTGCATTTACAACGTATTAACAAAAAACAATATTTGCATTTACAACAAACAAATCTTTTTCCGTTATCTTACCCCAAAAAGTCAAATATGTACTTCAATAATAGCTTACAACAATATCTCACTATAAAGAGAAAGTCTTGAATGAGACAGATGTCTTCGTACGAAAGAGAAAGTATTGAATGAAACAAAAGACTCAATGAGATCTATATATTTACCCCATCATAAAACACATGCATGGCTCGATGCTCATGAGTTAAGGTTAACATGGCGTGCCTTGATTAGACAAACACATATACAACTTTATACCAGGTTAATTATTACCAAAAGTATAGTGCTAGCAAAACTAGGGATGGGTGTGGGGTGGGTCGGGTTTAGGATTGGGATCCCCGTACTCAACTCCTTGGGGGTTCACCTGTTCCCGCCCCATTCCCCATCCCCTCCCCTCCCCTCCCCATGGGGATGTGATGATACCCATCCCCATTCTGACTTCACCCAGAGGCTTGGGAATTGCGGGTATTAATCCCCCTAAGGATTCCCCCCCTTCTCGTACTGAGATGATCTCAACAGAGGATTTTCTTCGAATGGCTTATAACTTATAAGAATTATTTTAAACTTTTTTTAATATTGATTTTGTAAAATTTTTTTATTGATAACTCTAGACAGTAAAATAAAAACTCATTGAAATGTATGAATAAAATTTTGATATAAAAATAAATGTATATTTAGTTAATTTTTGAATATATATTTAATTAATTACTTAATTACAATGTCATTAGATTATTAAGTAATTAAATTGTATTGAATTAATTGACTAAATTTTAAAATATTATATTGAATATCAAGATTGATATTTGATAACTCATAAATCATAATCAATTATTTGATTTAATTACTTGTTAATGAAAAAGGTTTAAAGAATCAGAAACTATTAATGTAATTTATGACTAATTAATAAAAACAAAAATAAAGATTGATACATCATACATCATTGCATCTAGTTTTAGTGAACCATTGAATATAAATAAAACAATGTTAATAAAGTTCATGACTAATTAATTGATTACAAAGACATGATAATAGAATTTGTGTAAAATAAAACAATGTTCATAATTAATTAATTGATTGATTGATTAGAAAGATAACGGAATTTGTGCAATTTAATATTCATTTTTCTAATATAAATTTCTCCTAAAATGTTTCCAAAGTTTAGATAATTTACTTAGAAGAGAAACTCAATTATCTTAGTTTATGTAATAGTGCAATAATTCAATATCATGAACATAACAATATGATTAAACAAGTCAATGTAATTTGGAAACCATTAAACATGGTAGAAAAAAATAAATTAATATAACAATATGATTAAACCGGATTTTGATTTATTACCCCACTTTGGATCAAATATGGTAAAATAAATTCTAAATTTAAGAAATTATATTATATAATCATTCATCTTATTTAAAATAATTTAAATTGTATTTCTGATAATTTATAAAATTTTGAAATATATCTTAATCATATTTAGTTAAAGATAATAAATGATAAAATTTAATAATGTGAAGCATTGAAGAAGATACTTGGACTTTTTAAGTCATGTTGCTTTCATTCAAATTAATAATCAAATGATAAAATGATATCTAAATTATATAAACAGTCTTAGATTAATAATCTAATATAAGATGAAATGATTAAATTGCATGTATATGTATTGGAATACTAAATATAAGACCTATTTTTTATATCATTTAGATATATAATAATATATACGTTATTATATATAAAAAAAAAAGAGTATAATATCACATTATTATATAAAAGGAGTTGGCCTGCACTTTTTCGGGGCAGGGCGGGCATAGCACTAGGGGTCGAGGGGTGACACGGGTTAAGGTTTTATGGGGTTTTTGGAGACAGAACCGGGCAGGTCCCCGCCTGAGAAAACTAATCCCCATCCCCACCCCGCCCCAAGGGGTGGGGATTTTTTCCCTGTCCACCCCCGACCTGTCACCTGGAAATTCAGGGAATCCCCACCCCAATCGGGGTGGGACAGGAAGGGTCCCCATGGGGACGGGTGAAACGCCCATCCCTCAGTAAAACTTTCATTTTGCTTCTTTAATTTTAAAAGTCATGCTCTAATTATAGGTGAATTCTTCTAGGTTGAAAATCAGGCTAAAGCATCAACTTCTGACAAACATTAGGAACACTTTGTGCAAAGTAAGAACTAATCTTATCAAAGGGAAAACACTAAAAGCAGGCGATATATAACAGTTTTAAGAGATTCATATAATAACGAAGTCAACAAAGTTAAACAGTCTTACAATCTTCTAACATAGTTTAGTATTACAACACTAACTCTAACCACAGCAGTTACCCTTTTGCTGGATTGGCTGTCCCTTCATCTGCACAGTTCCTGTAGACTTGTTCCCCGTTGGCTGGTTACCCATTCTGCAAAAGAAAAATGAACGCACACCGTTAAGAGAAACAGCAACTAGGTATATTAATAAGCAAAGAACGCCACATCTCTACGGTAAAGAATCATGTTTTGAAAGATGACAAGGAATGCGACACGTAAAATACCTAAGACCTTTTCTTTAGTGATCAGTATCAACCAAGAAAATTACGTCAAATTTTAGCTTTTGGAAATTACTATGATGATGACATGTAATTAATATTTAATAACAATTAATAAGCACTTGCAAATTGGAATATATGGCAGCATCAGAAATAAAGAAAGTGTTGACAAGTAGTTTTACTTTTTCTTGATCTCGTCAGCCATGGTTAAGAAAGCCTGCTCCACATTGATTGAATCTTTAGCACTTGTCTCAAGGAAAGGAATCCCCAGCTCTTCTGCAAATGCCTGCATTTCATTCGGATAGAAGCCAATAAAATCAAGTTAGATAAGCTAATCCTGGTATGTCCTATGTATTACTGATACTCATCTAGTAATTTCTGCATCTGCCGTTAGATGGCACTACAACAGCCTATGCCATCATCTCAATCATTAAGAACTCATCGCAAAGTTCATACCTTCATGGCTTCATCAGAATATCTGATGCTAAAATCAACCAACTCTGTCACAGTCATTTACATGGGATAACTCAAAAAGTTGATACTCTAAACAAAACCCCACACCCCCAGCCAACACCCGCACACAGACATAGAGGGGTAACAGAGGCATTCCCAAGTGTGAAGCACTTTGATAGGGGTAACAGAGGCATTCCCAAGTGTGAAGCACTTTGATAGGGGTAACAGAGGCATTCCCAAGTGTGAAGCACTTTGATAGTTTACAACACACCATCTTACACTAATACAGGTCATGAACAAATGAAAAGTGAGCTCTTATCAGATGTTATTTCCTCCAATTAATTTTACTTAGAGCCACAGATTTACATTTTAAATAACTTTTTAAATTGGACCACATAACATGACTGATCTGATACAATGATGTGTCCACAAAACCCTAAAATGATTTAGCAAATAAATTGGATGGAAGTCAAATTTACTTCTTATGAGCATTTAAAGGAAAAATGTTTCAAAATGTTTAATATGATTTCTTATACCAAAAAATATCCATATGCTTGTTTGTTATGAACCCATCTACTTAAATTTTTAGGAAATTTTTCTGTGATGGTGGACATGACATGGGACATGTTAAGTGAAGTGTCAAACTTGTTTTGGCAAGTGAAATTCCCATCGAGCATACACCTGTTAAAAGGTTAATTAAAACATAAATAAATTGATAATAAACAAGGTAGTTGAGTCCAAAAAAAAAAAAAAAAAACAATAAAGAATAGTTATAGAACAAGTTGTTTGTAGCGGAAAATATCCCAAAGACATACAAACTTCCAAAAATTATGAGTGTCCCATGTAAGCAACAACTCGTTATACAAATGGTATTTAAAGTTCATGACACGGAAGTAACAAACTATACCTTTGCTGTTTGCGTGTCTACAACCTTGTTCTCAACTAAATCACATTTATTCCCAACTAGAAGCTTGCATACACTGTCATTTGCATATCTATCGATTTCATTCAACCACTGCTTCACATTATTGAAGCTTTCCATCTCAGTGACATCATAGACAATCTGTTGCAATCCCATTATAATTAAGAACTTTCAGACGCTTGTAAACTTAAAATTAGGAAAAGAAAATATCATCCGTGTTCTTTTTCTAAAAATTACAACAAAATAAAGATCACCAATAAATAATACATTTAGAATTACATGCATTAATCAAGAAAGAGGTAAAAAATTGGAGGATCTAAGTGGTTTTGCTTTATCAATACCATGATATACAAGGAATTATTGCAATGAAATCCTCAACTAAAGATGAAAAATGAGTTTCTATAAATACATTCAATATACCTAGGCTTGCTAATATGCCATCTGTAACCAACAATGTGCACAAGCACCAACGAGATCAAGGGAAATGCATCAGTTTCTGATAAGGAAAAAAAAAAAGTCTAAGTTCCTCACAATAATCCCGTGGGCTCCTCGGTAATAACTGCTTGTGATAGTACGGAACCGCTCCTGTCCAGCAGTGTCCCACTGCACAAATAAACAACAATAAGTGTCAGCCATTACCTTGGAGGACTATCATAAGAACTTAATTCTGGTTATAAGATGAAGAATTGTTATCACCATCCACACCGTGTGACCTTTTCCACAGAATAACATGAACTAAATTCAGCATAATTAGGACACTTCACATCCTCTTTACGTGTTCAGCACTCAACTCAGACAAAACAACAATCTCAAGCATAACCCCCCAAATTTTCAAAAAACGATTAACCCATTTATAACCCCTCATCTTTTACCTCCAAAAAAAAAATAAAAAAATAAAAAAATCTTAAATGTGGACCATTTAATACAATAAAGGGAAATTTCTACTCACAATCTGCAGCTTGATTGTCTTCCCATCCAGCTCAACAGTTCTAATTTTCTGCAAATAAAAAAATAATAAAATAACTAAGTCTACTAAATATTGGCCTATTTATTAACATACATACATACACAAACACATGAAAAGAGGGAGAAAAACTCACAAAATCAACTCCAATGGTACTGATGTAGCTATCAACATAAGAGTCATCCTGAAAAATAAGTAAAAAAATTATAAAACCGAACTTTTAAACCTAAAATATTAACAAAAATAAAAAATTTTGCATAACCCATAATTAATCCTCACTTATCTTCCTCATTATCATATCAAAAACTTAAATTTCAACACCCAAAAAAAAATTACAAAAGCAACAGCTAAATATAACAAAAATGAAAAATAAAAAAAAAGAAAGTCAGATAAAAATTCCACTAACAGCAAATCGGAGAAGCAGACAGGACTTGCCGACAGAGGAGTCTCCGATTAGTAGAAGCTTGAACAGGTAATCGCTTCAAAAATTCAAAAAAATAAAATAAAAATAAAATAAATTACGAAGAAAATGAAGAAAAAATATGAGACATTCACATACTATTCGTTGCTCATGGTGATGGAGAAATTTTCTCAAGAAAATCGGAAGAAAGATTGTTTCTGTTTTTGTTTGTTTTGAGAGAAAAGGAAAGTTTCTGAAGTTCGAAAACTAAAATGTGAGAAATGTGGATGTGAATGTGAATTTTTATTTATTTATTACCTGTCAATCATAGCTATCTCCACCACTGCAGCACCTATACCCAATTATTTCTCAAAGTTACCTTTTTCTGGACATAATTACATATATACCCCTGAGGTTTGGGCCTATGATTTCCAGATCCTACAATCTAAACTAGGATAGATCCCTTTGATTCTAGCAAACGTTGACCCACGGCCACGTAAAGGGAGAACGGGTAATTCACTCCTCCACGTAAAGTAAGAATGGAAAATTCACTCGTGATTCACTTGTCTTTGCATAAAAATGTTGTTTCGGAATTAGGATTTAACTATGAGCTTTGAGGGCGGTATTTCTAGTATTTAAAAGTTAAAGATATTGATTTGGACCAAAAAGCTCAAAGTGGGCTAATGATTCTCTCTTTTCTTAATTGTGGATGTGGATGAGTAATTATAATTTTTACTCCTAAGGTTTGTGGCTTTGAAGTTTCATAAATACACCTATACCCTTTAGGGGGCATTTGGTTGGAGGTAATGAAAGATTATTAGGGTTATGTCATCTTATATTACTTGATTATCATGTTTGGTCGTCAAGTAATATAAGATTTTGGTAATCTTATATTCCTAATAGTTGTTACTGTTAATAATATTGGAAGTAATCTGGTTACCTCTATTTTTTTAGATATTGTAAGATTACCTTAGTAATCTTATTTTTATTACAATTTTATCCCTTATTAATAGAAATTTTAGACAATAATGCCCATTTTTTAAAATAAATTTACATTAATATAATATTTCAATTATATCCTTGTTTAATTAAGTTTTTAGACAATAATGCCCTTATATTTAAAACAAGTTACATACCACTGCCGCCACCCAGCCACCACTACCGATAGCGGGCCAACCACCACTAATCGCCGCTGGAAAGTCGTTGGAGTCCCTAAAAATGACCTAGATTCTCTAGCCATTAGCGACCAAATCTGGGTGAGATCTAACCGTGAACGGTCATGGACCTGGCCATTAATGGCTAGATCTATTTTGCTTGGAATAAATCTGGCCTGATATGGCCGTTTTCGGCCATCAATAGGGCCAGAAACGGCTATATCGAATCCTCGTGGTCACAATGAGCTACTCACAGCAACTTTCAGAGACTTCTAACGGTTTGCGGTGGCAGCAGAGGGTGGGGTGATTTTGTCATAAATTAAAGTTTTATATAAGCGGGGTGTTTTAGCTAAATCTAAAATATTAGGGGTTAAAAGAAATTATTCAAAAATTAATAATAAAAATAATATTATATTAATATTTAAAAAGAGGACAATTTAATAATTTAAATAACATACCCTAACCAACTAACTAAACACATTAATATAACATACTCACCAACTAAACAAAACACATTTTCCTAAAGATTTATAGTAATCTTCAAGATAATATAAGATTCTAGTAATTCAACCTTCTCTTAACCAAACTCACCCTTATAGTTTAATGCTGTTAACTAATTTAACAAATTTTCAATGGTGAGCAACGTGTCTTCCTGTCACATTCTATGTCAATAGTGAATAAGAGCATGTGTCAATTTATAAATTTTAAAATTCACAGCTTAAGTATACATGTTTTGAATAAATGAAGGTTGTCTGAAACTCAAAAACACTTTAATACAAGTTATACCAAAAGTTTTTGGTGAATGACAGTCGGGTGAAACACAAAAGTATGCACAAGTTATACCCAAAATTTTGGGTGAATAACAGTTGCATGACACACAAAAGCAAATTTGTTTAGGCTATACCTATCGCAAATTATTCGATTAGGTCTGAATTGTTATTCTTCTTATCGCAAATTAAGCTAAGACATTTCCTTAAGTTAAAAATGTATAAATTTGTATAAGCTATACTTAAAATGAACATATTCTGTTAGATCCAAACTATCTTTAATGTGCTTTGAGAATGCTCAAATAGTATTTTCTCTAATTAAGCATGTAAAATTGCTGGGCATGTTGTGTATTTGTAAAGCAATAGAGATAGTTTTAATAACTAGCCCAAAGCTTAAGGGGGAAATTGTTATTTCTCATTTCAAATAATTATTATAGTTTGGTGGGTCATTGTATTTAAGATATGGTGCAATTGTAAATTGAAAAGTTGTGTAATACTCAAAGGTGATTGAAGACTTTTTGAATATGGATGGGCAATACCTTATTGAATTGTGGATAATGATTAAGGTATACCTTATTGTCCTATCATGTAATATTTTCTTTCCAGCTACTATACTCCATAAACGAGTAATAAAGTATGGACCCATATTTAATTTTTCTTTATATACAAATATGTACAAAATATACTCAAAAATAGCAACTCGACAATGTCGTCCAACCATTTCACTGAGTGACGTTCCGAACGACCACAACTCACCTATTACCTGCAAAAACATTAAAAACAACAGAGTGAGCACTAATGGCTCAGTAAGTAAACCCACTATGCTAGCCTTCGCTCTTCGTTGCTTAAATTCCGAATTTTCTTTCCTTACATCATATTTCCCGATTATTCTCTATTCTTTCTCTGTTCTTTCTCTATTCTTTCTCATTCTTTCTCTGTTTTCTAATTTTTTNCACATTCTCAAATTAGTATACACAAAATAAATGTATATTAGGGAAAGGTTGTGTATGATTAATCTTCTAAGATTATCATTCTGATATCAATAAATTGAATGCACCTTAAAGATATAAATGTATATTAGGGTAATGTATATAAATTAAAATTGTATGGTTATTTGAAATTTGGAAGGGGTGTGCATAAAAATCAAAACGGCATAGTTTTAGTAAAATCCGGATCGGATACGGATATCCGCTTTTTTAGCAATCCCGATCCGGTATCCGATCCGATCCGAATATTCGGATTTTCTAAAATTGTGATCCGTATCCGATCCGAATTTTCGGATATCCGGTTTTTTCGGATCGGAGTGGAGCGGATATCGGATATCGGATTTTTTTGAACAGCCCTATGGGCAATACCTTATTGAATTGTGGATAATGATTAATAAGGTATACCTTATTGTCCTATCATGTAATATTTTATTTCTAGCTAGTATACTCGTAAAATAATCATTATATATCATATACTCGTAAAATAATCATAATATATAATGATTATTTTACGAGTATACTAGCTATATAATGAATTTTAATGATTATTTTACGAGTATACTAGCTAGAAAGAAAATATTACATGATAGGACAATAAGTATATATATATAAACGAGTAATAAAGTATGGACCCATATTTAATTTTTCTTTATATACAAATATGTACAAAATATACTCAAAAATAGCAACTCGACAGTGTAGTCCAACCATTTCACTGAGTGACGTTCCGAACGACCGTAACTCACCTATTACCTGCAAAAACATTAAAAACAACAGAGTGAGCACTAATAGCTCAGTAAGTAAACCCACTATACTACCCTTCTCTCTCCGTTGCTTAAATTCCGAATTTTCTTTTCTTACATCATATTTCCCGATTATTCTCTATTCTTTCTCTGTTCTTTCTCTATTCTTTCTCTGTTCTTTCTCTATTCTTTCTCATTCTTTCTCTGTTTTGCTCTCTGTTTGCTAATTTTTTACTACTCATGATAATGGGCATGGTATTATGCATATTCATGATGCAAATTACAAATGCATAAAGTATCCATTTTCTTTTCTATTTTTCTTATTCTGTTTTCTGTTTCTTTTTCTTTATTTATTTATTTCTTTTCTAGTCTTTCTTTTCTTTCTATTCTTTCTTTCTTTTCTATTCTTTCTTTCTTTCTTTCTATTCTTTCTTTTCTTTTCTTGCCGAACGGACTCGGTTGAGGCATGGATTTGGAGCCTTGGCTGCGTGAGTGAATTCTCTAATTCTGGGTATAGTTCTCATCCACACACACTTCTAACGGACTGTACAATTCTTCTTTCTGAATTCTGAGACCGCTCACTAAAGGTGGCGTGCATGTGGGACTATGTCACTCACGGGCCCCCATCGCAACAACCTTCTCTTCTTTTTATCTTTTTACACTTCTTTAACTAAAAAATTCAGATTTGAATATCTTTAATATTCTCATTTCTTTCTATTTTCTCTTTAATATATTTTAGTGCTTTTTCATGCTCTTATGAATATGTATACATGTAGATGGTTTCATGCTTATATTTCTTTCTAAATTCACATATTTAAATGCAAACATGTCATTCTCTACCATCTACAAACTCATCCCAAAGTAATACATAATCATACTCATACATGCACTTCTCTTTGTTCGATCCGATCTGGATTTTCGGATCAGGATATATTCTGATCCGAATCCGATCCGAAATATGTGGATATCCGTTTTTCGGATATCCGTTTTTCGGATCAGACAACTGGATATCCGAAATCTATCCGAATTTTAGAAAATTCTTATTAAAATTTAAAATCAAATAATTCTTCTAATAATTGAAATTACAATGCATATTATCAACAAATTAATCCATAAGTTGTTTATGCAACTTAACACAGAATCTATTACCCAAATTACAATTACAAATTTAATAAAGACAAACAAATAGCCAATTTAATACTAATATATTTTTTTTATCTTCATGCCAACTTCATCACACCGACTTCACTCTATGTGTAATACATTTTCAGGAGTAGGATTCACATTGTCACTTGTCACCGGTGTCGACGTATGAACGACATTTGAAGTCCCCCAAGTAGTACTATTATTTTCACCGTAATGACACTACATATCAATACAAAAGAATATATCAATTAAAACATTTGAATAAATAATTAACAAGTAAATCCCATTTTATTTTTAAGTGGTACAACATGATTAGATGAATCTTCTAAGATTATCATTATGATATCAATAAATTGAATGCACCATAAAGATATAATTGCACGATTCACTTGTCTTTGCATAAAAATGTTGTTCCAGAATTAGGATTTAATTATGAGCTTTGAGGGCGGTATTTCTAGTATTTAAAAGTTAAGATCTTGATTTGGACCAAAAAGCTCAAAGTGGGC